AGGACAGGGATTTCTGTCTATTTTGTTCTCAACATACCCAGTGACTACAACAGTGACACAATAAACATTTACTTGACTCTAGATAGTATAGACAGGGGAGTAGCTCTGTAGGATAAGCACTGGACTGAAAACTGCAAGGTTGGTGGTTTGAGTCCACCAGCTGCTCTGTGGGGAAAAGATGAGGCAAAAATGTACAGCCTTGGAAACCCTATACAGGGTCGCTGTGAGATGGAACTTACTCAACAGCACTTAACAAAGAGAAGACTAGACAATGCACCCACAAGATAAAATGAGCATACAGGAGATGACAGAAGGCTGACAGAGTGGTAGGGTATTGTGATATGCTATTTTGAAGGCTCCTCTTGAATAATATAGAATTCTAGGTTAGAAATCCTTTGCCCTTAGAAGTTTAAGACATTGATTCTTTATCTAAATATAGGTTTTTAGAAAACTGCAGCAAAGTCTGATGCAATTTTGATTCTTAGCCTTTCTTTGTGAACTACTAAACTACATGAAAAAGGGCTTGGTATCTTCTTTAATTTTCAAAACATCCTGAGATATATACATTGTTGTTAAACGCTGTTGAGTTTGTTTCAACTCATAGAAACCCTGTATAGGGTTTTCAAGGAGCAGCTGGTGGATTTGAGCCACTGACCTTGTGGTTAGTAGTCCAATGCTTATCCTACAGTTCATGGAAAAATGGAATAAAATAATGGAATTTTCCCATAACTTTTTGAAGCCTTGCATACATACATAAATGTCATATATTTCATATAAGCACCTTTAAAAAAAAAAATCTTAAGAATCTAAAACACACCACCTAGCTCAGAGGCAGGCAAACAAAACTAAAATATAGCTTGGTTGGAAGATAGCCCAAACGACGATTTTGCCTATTGTGAACTAAAAGGTCAGAGATGAATAGCTGCAACAGAGACTATATGGCCTGCAAAGTCATACTATCTGGCCTTTCACAGCAAAAGTGCTGAGCTCTAATCTAGCACAAGACAGAAAACATTGCAAATGTAATATTTTTGAAGTCGACTCCAGGCCACCTCCCAATTACACTCTTTTCCCTTGCTGTGCAGCAATCATCACCTAAATTTTGTGTTAATCATTTCTTTTTCTTCTCTAAGTTTATTTGTAGTCCTAAATAATATACTGTTTAGCTTTTCTAATTTGAACGTTATATGGAAGAAATCATAATGCATAGTCTTCTGGAACTTGCTCATTTCATTCAGCATTTTGCATTAAAGAATGACTCTATTGTGTTGATATGTGTAGTCATTTCTGTTGACACAATATTCCATTGTTTATCAGTTTTCTTTATTGGATATTTGGGTTATCCCACTATACATGACCAGGAGTCATGGTGAGGTGCTGTTAGATAAGCACTGGATTGCTAACCACAATTTGGTGGTTCAAACCCACCAGTTTCTCCCCAGAAACCCTATACGGTCACTGACTCGAGGATACTTAACAACAACAACAACAACATACACGTGTAAGTGTGTAGGTACATATATACACAAAGTAGGATTGCTGAGCACTGGGCATATACAGATTTCCTAAGTGTCCTACCCATGCCCTTCAAATAGTAATAAATGAAATTCTTCAACATATTCTAATCAACACTTGGCTTTGACATTTAGTTTTTACAAATCTGGTGTCTTAATCTTCTCTCCCTTTATTACTATTGTGGTATAGCATCTTTCTATATATATATTTCTTGGCCATTTGTGTGAATACAATTTCTATCAATTAAAAGACCTGGTTGAACTTTTTGTATCTTCTTGAATCAGCTTTTATAAAATAAGTTTTTCTGTCAATTTCACCAAAGTTTTCAAATATTGGTAGAAAGCTCATAATAGTATCTTATCATTATTTTCAAATCTCTGCTGCATCTGCTCTTTGTTTTATAGAATTATTCCTTTATTTCATTTTAATTTAGGGAAGGAGCAGAAATGATTCTGTGTGTTTAATCCGCTACATTTATCTGAACAAAACCACACAATTGACTTGTTCTTCCCTACCTATAAAATGAAAGTAAATAACAAAGGTAAATGGCAAACTGTTGTTGTTAAGCGTCGTTGAGTGTTCCAACTCAGCAACTTTGTATAGGGTTTCTGTGGAGCAGCTGGTAGGCTCGAATCGCTGATCTTGTGGTTTGCAGTCCAGTGCTTGTCTAACAGAGCCACCACACTCCATTTCCAATAAGTGACATCTTGAAGTCACAGGTAAACATACTATTGATTTTATCCGCGGGCCTTCAATAGGAAAATCCCCACTATAAGAACATCTTTTTACCTATGTGTTAGGCATATAAACAGTCTTCATTCACTAAATCTTTTCTTGATAATCTTATAGAGAAAGCTACACATTCCACTCCTAGTCATTTCTGTACATTTTACCCCAAAAGAAAAAAAGAGTAAACAGACACTGAACTTTAATAATATATATGCAAAGTTAGTTGTTCGAATCTACTAGTTGCTCTGTGGGAGAAAGATGAGGCTTTCAGCTCCTGTAATGATTTACAGCGTTGGAAACCCTACACAGGGTCACTAGGAGTCAGAGCTGACTTGGGAGTATACCACCACCACCATATTGGAGCCCTGGTTGTTGTTGTTGTTATGTGCCATTGAGTCGGTTCCGACCCATAGCGACCCTGTACAGGGTTTCCGAGGGTGTAAATCTTTACGGGAGTAGAAAGCCTCATCTTTCTCCCGCGGAGCAGCTGGTAGTTTCGAACCACTGACCTTAAGGTTCGCAGCCCGATTCGTAACCACTACGCTACCAGAGCCCTGGTAATATATAGGATATCAACTTGATGGCACACAATCACCACCACCACCATACTGATGCCAAGGAGCTCTGGTGATACAGCTCTGGTAATGTCGTGGTTACAAATCAGGCTGCTAACCTCAAGGTCGGCTGTTCGAAACTACCAGAGGTTCCGCGGGAGAAATATGAGGCGGTCTGCTCCCGTAAAAGATTTACAGCCTTGGAATCCCTGTGTAGGGTCACTATGAGTCGGAACTGACTCCACATTAACCTAAAGGTCAGTGATTCAAACACACCAGGTGCTCCACAGGAGAAAGATGTCACAGTCTGCTTCCATAAAGATTTACAGCCTTGGAAAGTCTAGGCAGCAGTTCTGTCCTATAGGGTTGCCATGAGTCAGAGTCAGCAGACTTTGGGGGTTTGAGGTTTTGTTTTTGTTTTACATTAATGCCTGTGATTTACTTTGAAATGCATTCTAAAATAAGATGAATTGATGAATGGTGCAAGTCTGGACAGGACAAACACGTGACAAAGCAAGCACAGAAAAACGTTAATGGTAGACTCTAGATGGAAGCATTTCTGTAAGTTTGAGAATTGTCAGAATAAAATATCAGGGAAATAAAGCTTCCTTTATAAAGCAAGATAAAAACTTAAAAAGAACGTGAAAAATATTAATCTTTTACATATAACAAAAATTATATAAAGAACTCATTCTAATTTATAGGGAAAATATGAAGCCCCCTATAAGAGAATGAGAAAATATATTAACAAAACACAAGAATGAAATAAACATATGCAAAAATATTCAGCAAACCAAAAACTCTACTGCCTTTGAGTTGATTCCAATTCATAGTGATCTTATATAGCACTTATATAGTAGAATTGCACCGTAGGGTTTCCAAGGCTGTAAATCTTTACAGAAGGAGACTGCCACACTTTTCTCCTGTGGAGCTGCTGGTGGGCTCAGGATGCTGACCTTTGGCTGGCAGCCTAGTGTCTTTACTCATTGTATCATCAGGACTTTCAAGAGTCTTCACCATTACCTCTAATCCAAGAAATCCAAACGAAAGTAAACCTGAAACACCACTTTGTACCTATTTTATTCCAATCAGATGCGTGTGTATGAACACACACAATTCTGGCATGGTTGCAGTGAAAATGATGGTCATACACAGCTGGCAGCATTCATTGTCGATAAGCACAGGCTTAACTGTTAAAGCAGTAAATTCTACCATTAGGAGAAAAAAATAGCAAATTATGATTATTATGGATTGAATTGTGTCCCCCGCAAAAGATGTGCTGAAATCCCAATCCCATACCTGTAAATACGACCCTGTTTGAAAATAGGGTCTTTCTTTTGTTAAGTTAATGAGGTCATTATCAGAGCAGGCTGGGTCCTAAACCTAATCGTCTCTGAGTTATGAACAGAGCAGCATACACACAGACACATAAGAGAAAGACAGATGCCAAGAAACACCAAGGGACTCCTGGGACTACAGACTAGGAAGGCCCCTCCCCTAGAGCCAATGTCCTGATTTGGACTTCTAGCCTCCAAAATTGTGAAGCGATAAATTCTTGTTCCTGGTGGCATTATGGGTTAGGTGTTGGGCTGCTAACTGCAAGGTTGGTGGTTCAAACTCAGCAGCAACCCCATGGAAGAAAGATGAGGCTGTCATTTGCTCCCATAAAGATTTATAGAAACCCTATATAGGGTTGTTATGAGTCAGAACCGACTCAATGGCAGTGGTATTGGTTTTGGTTTAGGTATGCCCACTAATGGTATAATGTTTTAACACACTATCAAGTGGCGTATTTACATATTTCTATGAGACTGTAAGAATAAATGAAATGTATACTGGCACTGCAAAGGAACATGACCAACTTATGAAAGGACATGTTATATAAAGGGGGAAAGGTTACAGTGGTTAAAGCCCTAGACAGCTTACTGAAAGGTGGGTGGTTCAAACCTGCCAGTTACTCCTTGGAAGAAAGATGCGGCAGTCTGCATGCACGAAGGTCATAGTCTCAAAAACCCTATGGGGCAGTTCTGCCCTATAGGCTAACCATTAGTCAGAATAGACTTGATGTTAATGGTTTTGGTTTTAGTACCTATGAGGGAACTGTGGCTGATTTCTTTTTCTAAAATTTTCTTTAATTTTCCGATACAGCTTTCAATACAACTAAAATCATTGAAAAGCCCGACTCAAAGAATGTCTACTTACAGTGCTGAGTTTGCTGCAAATGATGAGAATCCGGCGTTCGTAGAGCATACTGGCATACAGATGCAACATGTTGTTTACATCCACAGCCACAAAATATTCTGTCAGATTTCTCTAGGAGGAAAAAAAAGAAAATGGAAGGTTTGTGGTTTATTTTGTTTGTTCTTATTACAAACAAGTAGCTAATACAAGCATGAGAATACAAATAATCACAAAGAATACCTTCTTTCCCTGTTCTGTTCATGCTACATGATACCAAATATCACTTGTGTATAAAATCATGAGATGTGAGGCTGGAAGAGACTTTTGAGATGAAGCAGCCTGGGCAATGACATCTTTGGGTGCTGATTAAAGTTTACAACGGAGGTCACCGAGAGCACTGCATTTGCTCTCCATATCAGTTCTGTATGGTAAGCAGGATAAGAATTTTGCCATCTTACAAATGAGGAAACCAAGGCTCAGAGAGATTTGCCAAGATCAAACAGTCTAATAAACGATAGAGACAGGACTGTCACTCAGATATTCTCACCCCAGATCCCAGACCCTTCCTAATGTACTGTGTGCTACACATCTAGGCAAAAGAAAGTACCCAAGCACTAAAATACTTCTGGCACTGAACATGTTTCTGTCCAATAGATTCCATTGCACAAACCACGTGAACTTACTTCTGCCATCACCACCAGGTGACATGCTCCAAAATTAAAATAATTTCAAAGATTCAAAGATTTACAGTTTCCAGGTATTTTGCTCAAAAGGCAAAAAGAAAAAAAGATGATGATGATGACAAATAGCAGTAAGCTGTGACAAAGCAGTGTTTCCATTAGTTTTCCCCCCAGAACTTGGGCTTCAGTTTTTAATTAGTACTACTGATTGGTACTCTTCAGATTTCAGGGGGAAAATGTAGTGTGCTTCATTTCTGGGGCCCTTTCTATACCCAACTAACTTTAATAATACACATGAATATGCTAATTTCTTCAATGGTAGAGGTTTTCAATGTCACACAACACAACCCTCTGAAAATGAAGGAGTTAGGAGAGGGAACAATATTACCAGGGGTTACAGTTTACAATGATTAACAATCCATAACTCACAAATTCAAGTAAGCCAGGTAGATTTTATATGCAAAATAACACAAAATACTTTTCAACAATATTACGGGTTGGGAAGAAGAGTAAGTATTTATCTTATGATTCATTATTGCTTGACTGTGGTACCTGGTTAACCACTACCCTTTATAAATACAGAGTGAGCTAATGAACAGTTCCATATATGATTGTCTAACAAGTGCCAACCACTGTATGTATAATCTTTGGATGTGTGATCTTATGCAATCTTCATAAAAATCCAAAGTCTTGTAGAGGTTTGACAACCAATAAGATCAGAATTTGGACTCAGACTGGACCCCATAGCCCATGTAACTTTCCCTTACACTCCACTGTCCTGCTGAAATATTTTAAAACATCTACAATGTATATTAGGAGCTCTGGTAGCATAGTGGTTACGAATCGGGCTGCAAGCCGCAAGGTCAGCAGTTCGAAACTACCAGCGGTTCCACGAGAGAAAGATGAGGCGGTCTGCTCCTGTAAAGATTTACAGCCTCGGAAACCCTGTGTAAGGTCACTATGAGTCGGAACTGACTCCACGGCACATAACAACAACAACAATGTATATGGCTTTACATACATCATTTCCTTTAATCTGGACACCACACCTATGCTGAACTGCTAATCACAAGGTTGGTGGTTCAAACCCATCAGTCACTCCTTAGAAACCCTATACAAGGTTGCTATGAGTCAGAACTAATTTGATGACACTTCAACAGACGTGAAATCCGAGGCATTGAGAAGTAATCTGACCAAGGTTACATAGTGAGTGGTTAAAGTATGACTCAGGCTGGGTAGGTCTGTCTTTAAACCTGTGCTCTTTTCTGTACATCATTCAAAACTGGTGGATCAAAAGTCTCATTTGGAAAAGAAAGCAGGATCAAAGTATGCCAAAAGAAAAGAGAAAGAGGAAAAAAAACAAAACAAAATATTTCAGTTAAAATGATGGTTACCCCATGCTTATTGTTTAATACTTACATGCCGGGGCTATACTATAGCTGTGTTATCCATTACCTTCTCAACAACCAGGAGACAGGCATTACTATCTCCATTTTATAGATGAGGCAACTGAGGTTCAGGAAGGCTAAGTAGTCTTTCAAAGGTCACCTGGCTAGAAAAGGCAAAGTCATGTTCCAAAACCAGATTTTCTGAATTGAAAGCTCCTGCTCTAACCACCACACCAACTTGCCTCTTAACAATCTTGATGAAAAATAGCTAAAACAAAACAAAAACTGAAAGACTGCCTGAATTCGTCAACAAGCGCATCTCTTGCTGGGTGGACTGAGGAGTGCTGAGCTAATGATGTCAGGGTGGGGTTTGCTCTGAAGACAGTGACATGGCAGAGCTCTTCTCGCAAACAAAAATAGGGGGCCTCAGCTGAGCATTTCAGTGAATGCTTAACTGCTGATGAATTTTATGAATTTTTCTTTTAGGAGAGGATGGAAGTAAAAAAGAAAATAGAAATGAGGAGCTTAAAGAAGGACAGAGAGCCCATTAGCACTTTTGACAGATCCAAAGATAACTTTGAAGCCACCAAAGCGTGGCCTCAAGAGTCTGCCAAGAAGCTTCACGCTGGGTAGAAATATGTTACACAGCTTGCCGTCCCAATACGGAGACACAGCGTCAGAGACAAATCCTGCGCCTTCTTTTGGTGGGAGAGGAAAAAAAAAATTGTAAGAATACATTCGGGGAGGGGGAAAGGAAAATTTCTGAAACAAAAATACCACTTGGTGAAGGTATGGCCCCCATCTCCAATCAGTTTCTGAGGAACTCAGGTGCTTGCTCAAAAAACTCTACACAGGTAGGTTAAAAATATGTAACATTTAGCCAGATTCTCTCTAAACTGTCATGTACTTTTTTTGGTATTTCTCATCCCATCTGTGCTGATTACCAAGATATTTGTGTCTAAACAGAAGCTGTCTTTCTTATCTGCTTCCTCCCCTGTCTCTTTCCTTCTGGGATGCCACCCGCCTGAGCGGGTGGGAGTGGGTGGGAGTGTCGACAACCCTGGGAACCTCACTTAGCCATGGGGGTAACTAGTGGGCTAGAGAGGGGCTTTGAGAGTAGCTGTAGGGAGCAAATACAGCTCCCACCAAGCTGAGCTCAAAAGAAAATTCCCTAGAGGGATCCCCCCACAACCCCCCAACCCAACTTTGAGCAGCCAGTAGCTAGACTCTATTTTTCACACCTGGCATTCTTTTTCACATCCCCACCTTTACCTCTGCTGTTTCCTCTGTCTAAAATGCTCTTCTCTTCTTTGAGAACATCCATGTACTTTTCAAGACTTAGCTCAAATGTCACTTCCTCCTGGAAGGGTTCCACAACTCCCCATTCATCAAACTCTCCTCCACGCTTCTACATCAATTTGTCCCTAGTTTATGAATACTCAGTAGCTATGTTTTTGCTACTTGACTGAGGTCTCTTTGGGTTAAGAAAAATTGAATCACATCATCTAGCAGTTTAGTAAAAGAATGAATCAGTGAGTGGAGGAAGCGCCTGAGGTTGATGCCTTGTCCTTAGTGGGAGTGTGAGCAGTGTGACGCTGTAAGAAATGTACTAGCTTGGAAAAGGGACAGTGGTATATTAGGAAGAACATAGCATTTTAGAAGAGAATGGAAAACTTGAGTCTGAGTTCAATGAAACAACCAATTATTAATGGTGAAGGGCACACAGAGAGAGTGTTGATGCTGGCAACTGCATAAAGGTAGGTAAAATAGCCTTTTAAGGTCTCTGTGGTTATGCTTAATAAATGTGTAAATAACGTAGGTGATTTGCTCATTGAGTAACTGGCGGACGCACAGAGGGACTATACATAGAAGCAGGTGTTTATTTCACAATCCAGCAATCATATTTCTCAGATAGGTAAGATCTGAGTGTAGGGAGGTGGGATTAAAGAGGAGAGAGCTTCCATGGCAAGTTGTCTTAGGACAAGATTGCAGACAGGACATTCTGCGGGCTTGTTATTGTAAAGGATGCAGGTATACTCTCTCTTACAGCACACTTACAGTGGAAAATAAATCTTCAACATCCTATTTCTGCCTCCTACACCAGGCAATCAGCAAACATGTATTTAACTCCTATGATGTACTTAGCAACATCCTGGGAGCTGGAATTACAAATATCAACAAAACATGATCCCTATTTTTTAAGGGGTGGAGGGTGGTTACATGAGACACAGAAACTCAATGTGCAGAGTACAGTGGACAAAGCTACACACACTCCAGAGCTGGCCAATCAGGGAAAGGATCTGGAGAAGACTTGACAGAGGAAAAGGCATTTTGCCTGGCTCTCCCAATAGGGAGAGGGTCATTCAGTAGACAGGGGAGAAGGGTATTCCAGCAGGGGCAAAGGCAGAAAGGTGAGAGGAACTACATGCAAGTCAGAACAGCGAAGAGCAGGGTAGAAGGTGAGTGGTGAAACAGGGGAACATGGCACCTACACTCTATTCCATAAATAACAAGGAATTGCTGGAGGATCATGACATGATCATATTTGTGTTTCAAGATCTTTCTAGAGGCCTTGTGAAGAGTGGCTAGGAAAGGGCACATAGGAGACAGGGCAATCAATTAATAGGCTAGTGCTTTAGTCCAGGGAAGAAATGATAAAAACAAACAACTACTCAGGAGAACATTTTGGAGACGGGCAGGAGAGACATCTGTAAAGTGGAATTATAGGACTTGACAATGAGCCAAACTCAAAGAGCATGAGAAGAAGAATCTTGGTGACCCCAGACTTACAGTTTACTGTACACTATACTTGCCCACTTGCCAAGCTTTTTAAAGGGAGAGTACATTCATTTAATGAAGGATAAGCTCTCCTTCTAAAGAACATAATTTCTGTCAAACATGGCTTCACTTGCCTCTTAGACCTAGTGAATTATAATGCCCCCGCAGCCAAGCCTATGAAACCACTCCTGCCCATCCTTCCTTGCCAACTACTTCTCTGTGTGACTCAACTGCTAAGAAAGAAAAACCTTGCTTAAAGGGACTACCTGCTCAAAAGTTCTTAGTT